ACAATTGCTCAAAGTCATATTGGACCATTGTGCCCCGCACTACTAATGAAATATAGAATTATTGAATCTATTTTTTATTTCCTTAAAATGAACGCATACAAAAATTCAATATTATATTATGGTAGGGCACAAAGGTACAATTTGAATTTAATTGATTATAATTGTCTCTAAACCAATGAACTACTTTACAATGCATTACAAGCTATGTTCAGTAAAATTTTACAAGCCCTATTTTTAATTTCAAAACAACTTTAGCAAATAATAATTACATACTTTAACCAATGCAAAATATAAATTTCAGAAGTAATTTTTTTTACTTAACTATAACGGCATAGTTGGAATAACTATTACTTTACATATCTCATGCAGAATTGCATTTTTAAATAAATTCACTTTATTATTTATTTTTTTATTGTTTACACCTTTTCAGGATAAAAATTCAGTCAGCCTTTTTATCTCCATCCACATGTGAGCTTTTAGAGCTTATATAAAAAAAAACTGTTGAATTAAACTCAAAATGACAAAACCTCTGATACAACAATTGAAAAACTAATTCTTAAAAATTATATTAAGGTCTCGTAAACAACAATGCTCACAACCAAAAAAGCTAACAACGAAAGATAATACTTTCGTTATGGATTTTCAAACATTTCCATTTTCTCTTGATAACGACGTCGTGAGATGATGGCTGGTTATACATCTTTTTTCCTCTATGTTCAAATATAATGTTTAAAAAATCTTTAACTTCACTTTGTTTTTGAGATCTTTGGTAGACCTTTTTACCCGCGGACCTTTAAAGCCCGCTATAACCACAATATAACCTGTATAAATCGATCTCCAAACCTTTCATAAACCCGACAATGAATCAGTATGTCTCAAGAGAACAAAAAGTTTCTAATCGCTTATGAATAAGTCTAAGATTGATCAATGATGATAGACATCATCTATTCATAATCTATTATTATTCCTCAGTGGGTTTGTAGATTATTATTAATGTTTTTCAACCAGGTCAAGCAAACCACGGAGATTGGTAATTCTTGTACCTGATCAGTTCCACAGGCGTCTCGTTTGCAGAACGAAACTGGTTCATGTAATGCAAAAAAATGAACAAAAACATAATTGTTTATATTGTGTGATGATGATTTCTATTAATGTTTCATCTTTCTCATGTTTTTTTAAGTATATTAGTTGTAAAGTGCAAAAATAGATAAAATAGGATTCTGAATCGGGAATGGGGTCAAGGCATGTAAGTCAAGATAAGTGAAACGAGTTAATATAGAATATTAATATTATAATAAATTGAACGTTTCTGATTTACACACTTTTTCACATTACGTAAGTCACTATAAATATTGATTATATGTGATATTGAAAGCACTATATGGTAGAGTGGGCTTAAAGGTCCATGGGTAAAAAGAACCACCACCGATATCTCAAAAACCAGTGAAGTTAAGAATTTTTTAACAGCATTATTTGAAAGTAGAGGGGAAAAGATATTTAACCAGACACCACCTTAGCGATTCTTACGTTAAAAATCCATAACAAAAGTATTTTCTTACGTTATTTGTTTTGATTATGAGCACTGTTGTTTAGTTTTCAGACCGTTCTAATAATAAGAATAGGGGAAATTTTCATTAATATAAGTTCTGTTGTTGAATTAATTGTTTTAAATTTGTTGTTAATTGTTAATTTTCATTTAGATTAATAGTATTTTTATATAAACCTTTATAAAGGCTTATACCTGATTAGAGTAAAATCGTCCAACTATACTTTCACCCTACAAAATTAGAGATAGCAAATAGCACCCTAAAAAATAAAAAATTGGAAATAAAAAGTAAATTAAAACAAGCAATTTCACCAGATAAATTTAAATAAATAATTATTTCAACTCTGCTGATG